TGAAAAATATTTTTTTAAATTATGCATTGGTGATAGTTCATTTAAAAAATATTTTTAGAAAGGTCTACGTTGGTTATATGTCATTTAAAAAATATTTTTATAAAAATCTGCTTTGGTGATAGATTATTTCAATCCTTGAACAAATATTTTTTTATTCCACCTTCCGGAAAGGCCTTAAAAAATATTTGCTAAAAAATCTACGTTCCAAATAGACCGTGAATTTTTATTTTAAATTCGTAGGTCATCCTTGGAAGCATTGGAAAATTATTCTTAAAAAAACCTGTTCCTGATAAGCCTTGAAAAAAAATATTTTATTAAATCTGCTTTGGCGACAGGTCATTTAAAAATTATTTTCATAAAAATCTTCGTTAGGGATGGATCATTCAAAGGCCTTAAAAAAAATTTATAAAAAACCTTTGCTTCTGAGAGACCTTGAAAAAAAAAATTAATACAAATCCAAAGCCTTTAAAAATATATTTTTTTTATTCAGTTTACGGTCTTAAAAATATTTGTTAAAAATCGTCTTTCAAATAGGCTGTGAAATTTTATTCATAGGCCATCTTTAGAGGCTTTAGAAAAATATTCTGTAAAAAATCCTGTTATCGATAGGCCATGATTTTTTTTTAATGCATTGATGGTAGTTCATTTAAAATTTAAAAAAAAAATATGCGTTGGTGATAGGTCATTTAAAAAACTATATTTTTTATCTGCCTGGTGATAGGTCGTTCCAAAAGCCTTGAAGAAATTTTTTTAAATCCTCATTCCGGAAAGGAATGAAAAAAACTACGTTCCAAATAGACCGTGAATTTTTATTTTTAGTTCATAGGTCATCCTTGGAAAAAATATTTTTAAAAAAAATCCTGATCCTGATAAGCCTTGCATTTTTTTTAAATTGCATTGGTGATAATTCATTAAAAATATTTTTATAAAAGTCTACGTTGATTATGTGTCATTTAAAAAATATTTTTATAAAAATCCGCTTTGGTGATAGGTTACTTCAAAGGCTTTGAAAAAATATTTTTTAATGCACCTTCAGGAAAGGCGTTAAAAAATATTTGAGAAAAATCTACATTCCAACTAGACCGTGAATTTTTGTTTTAAGATCATAGGTCATCCTCGGAGGAATTGGAAAATTATTTTTTAACCCAAATTCCGGAAAGGCCTAAATACATATTTGCTAAAAAAATCCACTTTCTAAACAGACCGTAAATTTTTATTTCTATTTTTCAGGACATCCTTGGAGGCCTTGTAAAAAATATATTTTTTTTTTAAATCTGCGTTGGTGATAGGTTATTTAAAAATTATTTTTATAAAAATTCTCGTTAGTGATGGATCATTCCAACGGCATTGAAAAAAATATTTTTTAAATCAATTTTCCGAAAAGTCCTGAAAAAATAATATTTTTATAAAAAAAACTTTGTTCCTGACAGGCCTTGAAAAAAAATTTATACAAATCCAAGGCATCGAAAAAATATTTTTTTATTCACCTTCCGGAAAGGCCTTACAAATATTTGTTAAAAAATCGCCGTTCAAATAGGCTTTGAAATTTTATTCACAGGCCATCTTTAGAGGCTTTGGAAAAATATTCTATAAAAAAATCCTTTTGCCGATAGGCCTTGAATAATATTTTTTTTTAAAAAATTGCATTGGTGATAGTTCATTAAAAAAATATTTTTATAAAAGTCTGCGTTGGTTATATTTTTATATTAATGAATATTTATATAAAAATCTGCTCTGGTGACAGGTCACATCAAAGGCCTTGAAAAAATATTTTTTTAATGCACCTTCTGGAAAGGCTTAAAAAAATATTTGCTAAAAAATGCTACGTTCCAAATAGACCGTGAATTTTTATATTAAATTCATAGGTCGTCCTTGGAAGAATTGGAAAAATATTTTTTAATCCAAATTCCGGAAAGGCCTAAATACATATTTGCTAAAAAATCCACTTTCTAAACAGACCGTAAATTTTTATTTCTATTTTTCAGGACATCCTTGGAGGCCTTGTAAAAAATATATTTTTTTTAATCTGCGTTGGTGACAGGTCATTTAAAAAAATATTTTTTATAAAAATCAGCATTGGTGATGCATCATTTCAAGGGCCTTGAAAAGAATATCGTTTTAAATCCATTTTCCGAAAAGTCCTTAGAAAATAATATTTTTAGAAAAAAACCTTTGCTCCTGATTAAAATCCATGACCTTTAAAAAATATTTTTTTATTTACCTTCCGGAAAGGCCTTAAAAATATTTGTTAAAAAATAGAGTTGCCAATAGGGTGTGAAATTTTATTCATAGGCCATCCTTAGAGGCCTTGGAAAAATAGTCTTTAAAAAATCCTGTTGAAAAATATTTTTTTTTAAAAAATTGCATAGTTGATAGTTAATTTAAAAAAAAAATTGTAAAAGTCTATGTTGCTTATATGTCATTTAAAAAATACTTTTATAAAAATCTGCTTTGGTAACAGGTCACTGCAAAGGCCTTGAAAAAGATATTTTTTAATGCAATTTCAGGAAAGGAAATATTTGCTAAAAAATCTACGTTCCAAATAGACCGTGAATTTTTATTTTAACTTCATAGCCCATCCTTGGAAGAATTGGAAAAAATATTTTTTAAAAAAACCCTGTTACTGATAAGTCTTGAAAAAAAAAATTTTTTAAATCTGCGTTGGTGGCAGGTTATTTAGAAAATAATTTTTAAAAAATCTGCGTTTGTGATGGGCCATTTCAACGGCCTTGAAAGAAATATTTTTTTAAATCCATCTTCCGAAAAGGCCTTAAAAAATAATATTTTTATAAAAAAACAATTGCTTCTTCCTAGACAAAAAAATAATAATAATAATCACTTTCCGGAAAGGCCTTAAAAATATTTGTTAAAAAATCGACTTTCAAATAGTCTGTGAAATTTTATTCATAGGCCATCCTTAAAGGTCTTGGAAAAATATTCTTTAAAAAATCCTGTTGTCGATGGGGCTTTAAAAATATTTTTTTTTTTAAAAATTGCATTGGTGATAGTTCATTAAAAAAATATTTTTATAAAAATCTGCTTTGTTGGTAGGTCACTTTAAAGGCCTTTGAAAAAAATATTTTTTTAATGCAACTTCTGGAAAGTCCTTAACAAATGTTTGCTAAAAATCTACGTTCCAAATGGACTGTGAATTTTATCTTAAATTCATAGGTCATCAATAGAGGCCTAGAAAAAATATATTTGTTTTCTTTCCACCTTCCAGAAAAGCGTTAAAAAATATTTGCTTAAAAATCCACATTCTAAACAGGCCGTAAATTTTTATTTTTATTTTTCAGGTCATCTTTGGAGGCCTTGAAAAAATATATATTTTTTTAAATCAGCGTTGTTGGTAGGTCATTTAAAAAATATTTTTATAAAAATCAGCGATCATTCCAACGGCATTGAAAAAAAATGTTTTTTAAATCCATCTTCCGAAAAGTCCTTAAAAATAATATTTTTATAAAAAATCTTTGCTTCTGATAGGCTTTGAAAAAAAAAATTAACACAAATCCAAGCCATTTTAAAAAATATTTTTTATTCACCTTCCGAAAAGGCCTAAAAAATATTTGTTAAAAAGTCGACGTTCAAATAGGCTGTGAAATGTTATTCATAGGCCATACTTCGAAGCCTTGGAAAAACATTTTTTAAAAAACCATGTTGTCGATAGGCCTTCAAAAATATTTTTTTAAAAAATTGCATTGGTGATAGTTCATTTAAATTAAAAAAAAATCTGCGTTGGTGATATGTCATTTAAAAAATATTTCTATAAAAATCTGTTTTGCTGATAGGTCACTTCAAAGGCCTTGAAAAAAATTATTTTTTTAATGCAACTTAAGGAAAGGCTCTAAAAATTATTTCCTAAAAAATCCACATTCTAAACAGGCCGTAAATTTTTATTTTTCAGGTCATCCTGGGAGGCCTTGAAAAAATATTTGTTTAAAAAACCAGCGTTGGTGATAGGTCATTTAAAATTTATTTTTTTAAAAATCCTCGCTAGTGATGGATCATTCCAGCGGCATTGAAAAAAAAATATTTTTTAAATCCATCTTCCGAAAAGTCCTTAAAAAATAATACTTTTATAAAAAACGCCGATAGGTGTTGAAAAAAAATTATACAAATCCAAGACCTTGAAAAAAATAATTTTTTTATTAACCTTCCGAAAAGGCCTTAAAAAAATTGCTAAAAAATCTACGTTACAAATAGACCGTGAATTTTTATTTTAAATTCCTAGGTCATCCTTGGAGTCATTGGAAAAATATTAAAAAAAAACTCTGTTCCTGATAAGCATTGAAAAAAATATTTTTTTAAATTTGCGTTGGTGACAGGTCATTAAAAAACAAAAATTATAAAAATCTTTAAGAAATATTTTTTAAATTCATCATCCGAAAAGTCTTTTAAAAATAATATTTTTATAAAAAAAAACCTTTGCTCCTGGTAGGCCTTGAAAAAAAGTACTACAAATGCAAGGGCTTGAAAATATATTTTTTATTCACCTTCCGGAAAGGCCTTAAAAATATTTGCTAAAAATCCAGATTCTAAACCGGCCGTATTATTTTTTTATTTCACAGGTCACCCTTGGAGGCCCTGAAAAAATATTTTTTTTTTTTTTTTTTTTGAAAAATGGTGATAGGTCATTTAAAAATTATTTTTATAAAAATCCACCTTGGGGTTAGACCTTAAAATTTTTAGAAAAAAAAATATTTTTTTAAATTTTTGCTAAAAAAATCTAATTATTTTATTCTAAAAAAAATTGTTTTATTTTTTAATTCTCAATATAAATATTTATTTCAATAATTTTCTTAAAAATAGTTCTACCCCAAATTATACTTCTCCAAAATAATGCGATTCTTCTTGGCAGGACAATGGGATACTGATACAGGGGACGTGCCATGGCTCATACCATAGGTTATGCGTTTTGGGATTGATTGCATATTTTTATTCACTCTTTTTTCAAACGTATTTTCTAATCCATCCTCTATTGAAAATAATTTCGAAAACGTTCAAAAATTGACGAGAACAAACGGCTCCCTTCGACAGGCAAATGCCTGCCTCATATATGGAATTTTTTCCATTATCTTTTGCAAATATAACCTATTGCGATCCCGCAAATTCTCGTCCCCTCCGTTGACACAAAACTGCTGGGCCATGTTGAGGAAAAACAATTTCTGCCATGGTATGTCCGTGAAATCCGGCTGCCCTTGCCCCTGGTGATTTTCCACAAAGGCCCTATAGGCCACTGCTGTGGCACCGATTTTCTTCACCAATTCCAGGTCCATATAGTGATCGTAAAAATAATTCATATTCTGTAGAAATTGTCTGCTTTGCGTGGGTGAGGGGGTTGCATAGATTATGCCCACCGTTTGGCTATGGAACATAGCCTCAGCCAGGGAGAAACCCAGGGTGGACCATTTGAAGAGGCCATGTAAGCCGGGATGATAGATGGGTGGTTGGACATAGCCCAGGGGTAAAATGACAATATTACGCCTCTCATCATAGAATGGATTGGAGGAGTAACCCACCCGCTGGTAGGGTGAATACATGACATGGCGTTCATGTTCCAAACGTCTCAGGGAGGTAATCATGCGATGACGCAGCAAATGCAGGTGATTGATGTAAAAGTTATCCGGCTGGAGCGGTGGTATGTCATGGAACAAATGGCGTATGTGAGAGTTCCGCAGCGTCTGCGGTTGGTTACCCAAATTAAGCAGGGTATTATTGGTATCAGATCGTAGGCGTTCGGTATTGAGAAAATTCGATTTCTCTGCCAGCAGCTGCATAAGGCTGCTGCGGGCCTGGCGAAAAATATTCTGAATATCCAGATTGGTTTTCAATTCACTCGGCCGATAGGCATGCTCATAGAACAGGAAGGTCAAAGGTAAATCGAGTTTGTGTCGAACCTCCTTGATGCAATCCAATTTTCGAAAACCCCGTATACCCTTATCCTGCAGCAGGTGTTGTAATACCTGTAGCATAAGAAAATTACACAGATCCTCCATTTCGCGATCACTCCACTGCTGGGCCAGCAGATAATCGAAATAATCTAAATTCGAGATTTCAATATCCAAATTATCCTTGAAATTCAAAATTCCACTACTCTGCAGGTATTTATACAAATTTGGATAGGTGGCCTGGAGCAGGCCATACTGCATGGTGGAGGAGAAGGTAAAATAACGTCTACGATGTGAATAGCTCTGATAAATCGTATTCCATTTGGTTTGTACCACCATCAGCCGTCCGGCATAATAATACGACATGGCCAAGGACATACCCAATTGTTGTAGAATATCTGAAATCTCCCTGGTCCTCAAATTGGCTTTCCTTGGTTCGGCCAAAACCAAATGTGTCTCATCGAGGGTCTCATTAACATAGGTCCTTATGAGGACATTTTCAAAGCCATAACCCAAGAGCTGACCCAGAAAGCCAAACAAATCAAACTCCTGCACGGGCCAGGCACCTTTTGCTCCCCGCCGTTTCCACAGCATAGGCCATTCTAGATTCCTCCCCGGTTTGATAATTTTTAAATATTCCTCCAACGGATTACTGCCATTGGCCTTGACACAGGATCCATAATAATTATATGTCCTGGCTATCCATTCCAATTTCAGACTCTCAGCATCGATGGTTTCGAAAATCCGAATCAACTCCAAATTCATTTTGTGATCCACCAATTGTTCGGCATTGGCATAATCTCCACCTGGATGCTGCAACGGCCAATTGTTACACGCATAATTATAGAAATTCCGGCAAGGATCCTCGTTCTCATCCATGGCGGATTTTATTCCTGCCAAATGTTGACAATTTATATCCGAGGAGTTGCCCAGGCACAGTTGAGCTTGTATCGGATTGGGCAAGAAACTCCAAATTTGCAAGAGAACCGCCAGTGTTTTAAGGGAGGGAATTTTTTGTGGTCTCATTCTCCACGGCTTCTTGAAAACAAACTGAGCAGAATGACATTCGGACAAACGATTTTATAAATAAATCGCTTATTTTGGTGTACCAACAGGAAAACCCATCAGCGGGATGATAAGAAATAATATAAATGATGGCAATTGGGAATTTCCCTCTCTCCTCGCAATGGGGTCCAGGTCTCTTATCTCACATGGCGAACAAGGAAGAAGTCTGAGTTTTTTACAGTGAAGAACAAAATTTAAGTTTTCCGAATTTCCAAATGTAAGTTCGGCAGAATAAGAACTGCTGCCCAAAATCAGACCCAGAGTGTTGTTCAGATGATGCGGCACCAGGGAAACTGAAGGAATCACCCGGAAAAATGGTGGCCGTTAACAAGTGAAAAAGCAGTAAGTTCAGCCGGGCCGAACTTCAAATACCCTCCAGCATTTGAAGAGAATTTACAAATTTTCAAAAAAAAAAAAAAAAAAAAAAAAATCCGATGAAAAATAATTTTATAATTATAAAAATGGAGAATATAGGGAGTTACCGTCTTATGGGGGCTTAAAAAGAGAATATTTTTTTTTAAATCCCCAAAATATTTTCTAAGCTACCTATCACCAACGCAGATTTTTTAAAACAAAATATTTTTCAAGGCCCAGGAACAGAACCTATCACCAGCGCAGATTTTTTTGAAAAATATATTTTCAAGACCTCTGAGAACGACCCGCGAATTTAAAATAAATTTTCAAAGTATATTAGGAACGAGGAATTTTTTAATCAAATATTTTTTCAAGGTCTTTCCGGAACGGGGCTTAAAAACAATTATTTAAAAAATAAATTTTTTTTGTAAATTTTTTATACCCTCCACCATAGTATGGAGGGTATATTAAGTTTGTCATTCCGTTTGTAACACCTCGAAATATACCTTTTAGACCCCACAAACTTCTATGCAGATTAAACTATTAGACATTAATTTTTTTAATACAAATTCCTAACACGTATGTCACCGAAAAAAAATTTAAAAATCCACAATCCACAAATCCATAGCATTGAAAATAATCATTTTAACCTTCCGAAAAGGCTAAAAAATCCATTCACAGGCCATCCTTCGAGGCCTTGGAAAAATATTTTTCAAAAAACAATGACAACGGATAGATTTGAAAAAAAAAAAAAAAAAAAATAAATAAATCTGCACTGGTGATAGAATTTGTTATAAAATAAATATCTTATTTATATCGATCGAGGATTTTTTAATTTTCCTAAAATTATTTTTCTTAGGGAAATATATTTAAAAAATGCAGGTGATCTATGAATGATATTCTTACAAAAATTAAATTTTCCATTATTACATTGTTTACAATTTTTTGAAATCTACTATCCTGATAGAACTAAGTTTAAAAAAAAAAAATCAAATATATAATTGGTCATAAAAAAAAATAATTTTTAATTGTGAGGGGCCATGATTTTTTTTTAATTTTTAAAAAACTATTTTTTTATAGATCTGCTTTTGTGATAGGTCATTTAAAAAATATTTTTCTGAAGTCTGCCTTGGCTAAAAGCTTTTTAAGAGATCTTGAAAAAATCCACCTTCCAAAAAGGCCTTAAAAATTATTGCTAAAAAATTTACGTTCCAAATAGGCGACATTTTATTTTAAACATATTTAAAAAGACCTGTTGTTTTCAAAATCTGCGTTGGTTATTTTAATTTTAATGGCCTTTAAATAAGTATATTTTTTAATCCACCCTCCGCAAAGGCCTCAAGAAAATATTTGCTAAAAATCTTAGATCCAAGTAGATATTGAAATTTTATTTTAAATTCACAAATCATCACTAGAGGCATTGGAAATATATTAAAAAAAAAGAACCTGGCCCAGGTAGGCCTTGTAAAATATATATTTTTAAATTTGCGTTGGCGATAGGTCATTTCAAAGGCTTCGAAAAAAAATTTTTTTTTGAATCCACCGGAAAGGCCTTAAAAAATATTTGTAAAAAATCCTCGTTCCAAATAGGCCGTAAAATTTGATTTTAATATCTCAGGTCATCTTTAGAGGCCTTAAATTTTTTTTTTTTTAAATTGGCCTTGGAAAATATTTTTTTAAATCTGCGTTGGTGATATTTCATTTAAAAAATACTTTTTTAAAAATCCACATTGGTGATGAGACATTTAAAAAAAAAATATGAAAATCTGCGTTGGTGATAGGTCATTTAATTTTTTTTAAATCTCGTTGTTAATAATTAATTTAAAAAATATTTTTTATATATTTTTTTTTTGAAATCTCCATCTCCCGGAGAGGCCCTTAAAAAATATTTGATAAAAAATCCAAATACAATTAAAAATTATTTTTTTTTAAACTTAGTTCTATCAGGAAAATAGATTTCAAAAAAGTGTAAATAATGTAATAATGTAAAATAATTTAAAATAGAAAATTTAAATTTTGTAAGAAAATCATTCTTAGATCACGTGGATTTTTTAAACAAATTTTCCTAAAAAGGAAATAATTTTAGGAAAATTAAAAAAAATCCTCGATCGATTTAAATAGGATATTTATTTTAAAACAAATTCTATCACCAACGCAGATTTAATTTTTTTCAAAGCTACCAGTTTTTATGGTTTTTTGAAAAATATTTTTCCAAGGCCTCTAAAGATGCCCTGTGTATGGACTTTTTAGTAAATATTTTTTTAATGCCTTTTCGGAAGGTCAATTCATTTTTTTCAAGGCTTTTTAGAAATGTGGATTTTTAATTTTTTTTCGGTGACATACCTGTTAGGAATTTGTATTAAAAAAATTAATGTCTAATAGGAGTGGACTTTTAAAAAAAATATAATTTTTTCAAGGTCTATCAAGAACGCAGATTTAAAAAACAAAATGACGGATTATAAAATTGATTTAAAAATAATTGGCTGAACGTGGATTTTTTGACAAATATTTTTTTCACAGCTATTTAAGACATCCCGTGGATTAAAAAAATCATGTCCAAAGAACGTAGATTTTTGTAGAATTTTTTTTTTTTCAAAAATTTTCCAGGAATGAGGATTTTTAAATTTGCCTTGGCGATAGGTCATTTCATAGGTTTCGAATTTTTTTTTTTTTTTTTTTTTTTGAATCCACCGGAAAGGCCTTAAAAAATATTTGTTAAAACTAGGCCGTAAAATTTGATTTTAATATCTCAGGTCATCTTTAGAGGCCTTGAAAAAATATTTTTTTTTAAATTCCAGTTCCTGATAGGCCTTGGAAAAATATATATTTTTTTATAATCTACGTTGGTAATATTTCATTTAAAAAATGTTTTTTTTTTAAATCTGCGTTGTTGATAATTAATTTAAAAAATATTGAACAGTGTTTGGCTTGCTTGTTTGGGATACCATAGTATTTTGTTGTTGCAAAATCGTCAGGCAAAATCCCATTATTGTTGTTTTTATAATAAAATTTAAAATTTATAAATATTTTTATAAAAATCTGCGTTGGTGATAATTAATTTAAAAAAATATTTTTTTTAAAAATGTGCGTTGGTGATAAGTCAGTAAAAAAAATATTTTTTAAATCTGCGTTAGGGATGGGTCATTTAAAAAAAAAATATTTTTTAAATCTGCGTAGATGATGGGTAATTTCAAAGACTTTAAAAAAATATATATCTTTTTAAATCTACGTTTGCGATAGGATATTTAAAAAATATATTTTTTTAAATCTGCGTTGGTGATAATTAATTTAAAAAATATTTTTATGAAAATCTGCGTTGGTGATGTCAGTAAAAAAAATATTTTTTTAAATCTGCGTAGGTGATGGGTAATTTCAAAGGCTTTAAGAAATACATATATTTTTTTCAATCAACGTTTGTGATAGGATATTTAAAAGATATTTTGTTTTTAAATCTGAGTTGGTGATAATTAATTTAAAAATATTTTTTATGAAAATCTGCGTTGGTGATAATTCTGTAAAACAATATATATTTTTTTAAATCTGCATAAATGATGGGTTATTTCAAAGGCTATATAAAATTATATTTTTTAAATCTACATTTGCGATAAGATATTTAAAAAATATTTTTTTTTAAATCTGCGTGGGTGATAATTAATTAAAAAAATACATTTTTGAAAATCTGCGTTGGTGATAAGTCAGTAAAAAAATATTTTTTTAAATCTGCGTTAGTGATAAGTCAGTAAAAAAAATATTTAAAAAAATATATATTTAAAAATATATATTTATAAATATTTTTTTAAATCTGCGTAGGTGATGGGTAATTTCGAAGGCTTTAAAAAAATATATTTTTTTTTAAATCTACGTTTGCGATAGGATATTTAAAAATATTTTTTTTAAGTTCTGTAATCTGCGTTGGTGATAATTTAAAATATATTTTTATGAAAATCTGCGTTGGTGATAAAAAAATATTTTTTTCTTAAAATCTGCGTTAGTGATGGGTTATTTAAAAAAATATTTTTTAAAATATGCGTAGGTGATGAGTAATTTCAAAGGCTTTAAAAATATATATTTTTTTAAATCTACGTTTGCAATAGGATATTCAAAAAAATTTTTTCTTAAATCTACGTTGGTGAAAATTAATTTAAAAAATATTTTTTATGAAAATCTGCGTTGGTGATAAGTCAGTAAAAAAAATATTTTTTTTTTAAATCTGCGTTCGTGATGGGTCATTTAAAAAAATATTTTTTAAATCTGCGTAGATGATGGGTAATTTCAAAGGCGTTAAAAAATATATTTATTTTAAATCTACGTTTGCGAAAGGATATTTAATTTTTTTTTTTAAATCGGCGTTGGTAATAATTAATTTAAAAAATATTTTTATGAAAATCTGCGTTGGTAATAAGACAGTAAAAAATATTTTTTTTTAATCTGCGTAGGTGATGGTTAATTTCAATGGTTTTAAAAAAAATATATTTTTTTGTTGCGATAAAATGTTTAAAAAATATATTTTTTTAAAATCTGCGTTGGTGATAATTAATTTAAAAATATTTTTATAAAAATGTGCGTTGGTGATAAGTCAGTAAAAAAAAATTTTTAAATCTGCGTTAGGGATGGGTCATTTAAAAAATATATTTTTAAAATCTGCGTAGGTTATGGATTTCAAACGCTTTAAAAATATATATTTTTAAATCTAAGTTTGCAATAGGATATTTAAAAAAATATATTTTTTTATCTGCGTAGGTTATGGGTAATTTCAAAGGCTTCAAAAAATATATATGTTTTTTAGATCTATGTTTGCGATAGGATATTTAAAAAAAATATATTTTTTTTTAATCTGCGTAGGAGATGGGTAATTTAAAAGGCTTTAAAAAATATATTTTTTTAAATCTACGTTTGCGATAGGATATTTAAAAAATATGTTTATGAAAATCTGCGTTGGTGATAAGTCAGTAAAAAAATATTTTTTTAAATCTGAGTTAGTGATGGGTCATTTAAAAATTTTTGTTTTTAAATCTGCGTAGGAGATGGGTATTTTAAAAGCTTTAAAAAATATATTTTTTTAAATCTACGTTTGCGATTGGATATTTAAAAAATATATATTTTTTAAATCTGCGTTGGTGATAATTAATTTAAAAAAATTTTTATGAAAATCTGCGTTGGTCAGTAAATAAATGTATATTTTAAATCTGCGTTAGTGATGGGTCATTTAAAAAAAATATATTTTTTAAAAATACGTTTGCGATAGGATATTTAAAAAATATATATTTTTTAAATCTGCGTTAATGACAATTAATTTAAAAAATATTTTTACGAAAATCTGCGTTGGCGATAAGTCAGTAAAAAAAATATTTTTTTTTAAATCGGCATTAGTGATGGATCATTTAAAAAAATATTTTCTTAAATCTGTGTAGGTGATGAGCCTTTGAAATGCTTTAAAAAAATATTTTTTTAAATCTACGTTTGCGATAGGATATTTAAAAAATATTTTTTTTTATCTGCGTAGCTGACAATTAATTTAAAAAATATTTTTATGAAAATCTGCGTTGGTGATAAGTCAGTAAAAAAATATTTTTATCAAAATCTGCGTTGGTGATAAGTCAGTAAAAAAATATTTTTTTAAATCTGCGTTAGTGATGGGTCATTAAAAAAAAATATATTTTTTTTTAATCTGCGTAGGTGATTTCAAAGGCTTTAAAAAATATTTTTTTAATCTACGTTTGCGATAAGATATTTAAAAAATATTTTTTTTAATCTGTGTTGGTGATAATTAATTTAAAAAGTATTTTTATGAAAATCTGCGTTGGTGATAAGTAAGTAAAAAAAAATATTTTTTTTAAATCTGCGTTGGTGATGTGTAATTTCAAAGGCTTTAAAAAATATATTTTTTTAAATCTACGTTTGCGATAGAATATTCAAAAAAAATTTTTTTTCAAATCTGCGTTGGTGATATGTCATTTAAATTTTTTTTTTAAATCTACGTCGGTGGTAACTTTTCTAAAAAAATATTTTTTTTTTTAAAAAATACCACCTTAAAAATGTTAAATATATATCCTCGTTAATGGATCCAAAAATAAATTCCCAAAAAAAATTCTAAAAAAAATATATATATTTTTCTGAGGAGAATATTTTTTAAAAAATGATTTTTTAATTCTTGAAAATTTGTTTTATTTTTTTAATTTTTTTAATATAAATATTTATTTTATTAATACATTTTTAACCCTTAAATCTATATTTGTTTTTGCCCTAAAAATAATTCTACCACAAATTACATTTCTCCAAAACGATGCGATTCTTCTTTGTGGCGGGACAATGGAACACCTTTTCAAAATCTCGATGATTGGCCACAACCTGTGGCACCCGATACAGGGGGGTGTCATGGCTCTCATCATAGGTTATGCGTTTGGGATTGATGGCACAAAAGAATTGGGCAAATTTTATGAAAAATAATTGTTTGGCACCCAGCGGGGAGTGGGGATGGAATTGGAATACCTCGCCGGGAGGGTGTTGATCAAAATAGGTGGCATAGGCCAGATTGAAGCCACTGATATCGGCAATTTTCTCATTTAAACTTGCCGAACGTTGTTGGGAAAAGCAACGTAGAGACTTGAAGAAGGCTTTCTTGTTCGGCAGGGTGGAACTAATCAAGGTGGTGGGATTTCCTTGGCCATCAAAGTCCAGGCCATTGATGTCGAAGGCATGCATGATTTCATGGCCCAATGTGTTGCCCAGTTCGGCATAGAGAAATAGATCATGGAAGTCGGGATGAAAAATCGGAAATCTGAGATAGGCATGAGGTATGACCACCATGTTGGCAGAGGGTTGAAACGCGGGCGAGCCATAGGGCCAGATGACAAAGGTATGTTGGGGTTGGGCCGTTTTCAGCTGTAATAGCTTGAATCTCTGCTGATGATGATGCTGCAGGGCATTCAGGTGATTCCAATAGAAATCATTGTCCGTCACATACCAGTGGCGAAAATAGTGAACATAAAAATTCCCATCCTCGACCTGAGGTAAATTTCCAATATTCAATTTCATGCGGGAAATTTTCTCCTCCAGCAATGCAATTTCCGGCTCGGAAAACTCCTGCTGATGTTGTTGTAAAATTTCTAAAAATTTCCCCTGCATTCGATGGAATATCCTTTTGATAACCCCATCCGAGTGATTTCTTTGATGGCGATAGACCTCCTCCTCGTAGATATAGTCCAGGGCCAGGGGGACCAGGTCGCGCATATGCTGCAGGCAATGCAAATGATTTTCCACCTTTGGCATTTGTTTTTCCATGTAGCCCAGGAATTTTATTCGCAGCATTTGGATGAGGGTCTGGCCGGGGGTTTGCCTTAACAATTCTCCCAACTCCTGGAAATAGGCCAAATTGGTCACCACCATTTGGATATTTTCAAAAAACTCCCTCTGGAGACCCAGTAAATTTTCGAAAAATTCCTCAAAATCCACAGAGGGTACCCTTTGCATTAACTCTGCCAGGGAGATTTTTTCCTCCTTGAAATTATTGTGATTTTTACGCAGCGCAGCCAGGGTCTTGAGAAACTCCTCCATTTCCATGGCCAATTGGCGATAATTCCAGTTCAACGAACCCTCTAAATGATCTACAATTTTTTGCTCAAAAGCCGTAAAACCCAGCAGGTTGACCTTGTCCAGCTCCAGCCGGAAGTGGGTGGCATTTTCATGTTTCAATTCCAGTGACAAGGGGAAGCCATTGAAACCCATAGCCTGTAAACGGCCCAGGGTAGACCAAACATTCCATTGCTCCAGGGGGTACTGCCACTCCTCTCCATTTTCGGGCCACTCCACCCCTGGCAGGGGTTTAAAAACCGTCAAATACTGTTCCGGCTCAAATTTCTTTTGCTCCTCACACACCGCCAAATAGGAGCGTACCTTACGATAGATTTCATTATTTTCAAAATTTCGGGAAATTTTTCTCCTCCTCCGGCCTTGGAGTATAAATTTGATCCTCTTGTTGATAATATAATCCAGGCTGCCGAAGGTGTCAACATATTTGGAGGTTATATTTGGATGGGCATTTTCCCAATTTCCACAGGCGTATTGATAGAAATTTTGACAGGGATCGGAACTTGTGTCCATATAGCTGTGGAGGGTTTTGAGCAGACGTACATTGGCATCCTGTGGGCCATGGTGGTGGTAGCCAAAACTGAGGACAATTTTTAACGTCACCAAAAGCAGTAAAGCCAACATGGTTTTGCCTTTTTTGGAAATCATATTTTTTCCGATTTTTTTTAAATTTATTTTTTAATTTTTTTTTAAATTTATTTTTTAATTTTTTTTTTTAATTTTTTTTTTATTTTTTTTTAAATTTTTTATTTTCTTTTTATTTTTTTCAAAATTTTTATTTTTTTTCAATTTTTTTAATTAATTTAAAATTTCATCAAAAAAATTAAAATTTTTCTCAAATTTTTTTTCATTTTTTTTTTTAAAAATTTTAAATTTTATTTTTTTTCCAAATTTTTTTTTAAATTTTTTTTCCAAAAAATTGTTTTTCAATATTTTTTTTCAATATTTTTTTTTTCACAAATTTGCCAACCTCGCTCACGCCTTTCGACCAGGCTTCTTTTGTTTTAAAATGATTTATACATTTCGTTTCTACTTTTTTTGTCTTCTTTTTCCCACACCGCCTTCTTGTCTTTGAGTTTTCGAACTAAAAATGATTGCCTGAATTTCAATACCATGAACCGGGCGGCAGCTGCTATCTCGGTACCGAAATAAAACGACCTTTCTCAATGTGCTTGATCTTCGCGTGAATTAAGAGTTCTTTGACTGATAAGGAAGTCGAACCTAAAATAGAAAAAAAAAGAAATACAAAAGAGACGCCGAGTCGAAATCAGCATAACCTACACTAGAGAAAATGAGCGGATAATCTGTCTTAAAATCTACTAAAATTAGGTCTCCAAAAATGCCTTTTAACCCTGAAAAAGATTCTTAGAAATCTTAGGTCTCCAGAAAAAGGTTATTTAACAATGAAAAGAATCTTGGGAAACGCCATGCCCGAGGGCTCCAGAAAAAGCCCTTTTAACCCTGAAAAGAACTTAGGAAAAACCACGCCTTGAGTCTCCAGAAAAAGGTATTTTAACCCTTAAAATAATCTTAGAAATACCACTCCCTCGGTCTTCAGAAAAAGGCCCATTAACCCGGAAAACAGAACTTAGAAAATACCACGCCTTGAGTCTCCAGAAGAAGGCCTTTTAACCCTTAAAAGAATCTTAAGAAATACCAGGCCTTGGCTCCCCAGAAAAAAACCTCTAACCCTGAAAAAAATTTTAGGAAATATCAGGTCTTGGGTCTCTAGAAAAAGGTCTTTTATTCCTAAAAAAGAACTTAGGAAATACCACGCATTGGGTCTCCAAATAAAAGGTCTTTTAACCCTTAAAAGAAACTTGAAAACACCAGGCCTTGGGGCCCCAGAAAAAAGCCTTTTAACCCTGAAAAATAAATGCCACGCCTTCGTTTATCAGAAAAGGGCCTTTAACCCATGCCTATGGTCTTCAGAAAAGGTCCTTTAACCCTGAAAATAATCTTTGGAGAAGCCAGGCCTGGGGACTCCAGAAACAGGTCTTTAAACCCCAAAAAGAATCGTAGGATATATCAGGTCTTAGGTCTCCAGAAAAAGCCTTTGAACCCTAAAAAAATAATCTTAGGAAATACCATACCCGAGGTCTCCGGAAAAACACATTTTAACCCTGAAGTAAATCTTAGGAAATATCACGCCTTAGATCTCCAGAAAAAAAAGGCCTTTTAAAGAAAATAACTCAGGAAAAACTAGGCCTGAGGTCTCCAAGAAAATTCTTTCTAGACCTCTAAAAAATACTTAAATAAAATCACGACCCTTTTCTCGATCAATGGTTTTAAAGGTCAGCGAAAACACACCTTAAGTCTCCAACGTTTTTTCAGAGCAAAAAAAAATCTCCAAATTTTTTTTTAGACAAAAAATTTTAAATAAAAAAAAAATACTTTTACAAAACAACGCCTCAAAAAAAAATCCTTACAGAACCACGCCTTATGTCTCCAAAAATGTTTTTTTCAGACCAAGAAAATGTTTTTTTCTGAACAAGTAAAAATAATTTTATCGAACCGCACCTTATATCTCCAAAAAAGATTTCTCACAACACAAAAAAATTAATTTTTCAGAACCAAGTCTTAAGTCTCCAAAAAATGATTTTAAAATCCGTAATAAAATATTTAATGAAAAGCACACCTTAAAAGCGTTAAGTCTCCAAAAAAATGTTTTTAAAATCCGCAATAAAATACTCAATAAAAAGTTCACCTAAAGTCTCCAAAAATATTTTTTCAGACCCACAAAAAAGATGCTTTTACAAAACCAAGCCTTAAGTCTCCAAAAAAAATGTCTTTAAAATACGTAATAAGATACTTAATAAAAAACTCACCTTAAGTCTCAAAAAAGTTTTTTTTAAACCAAGAAAAAAAGCATTTACAAAACCACACCTTAAGTCTCCAAAAATTTTTTTTCAAAGCAAGAAAAAAATATTTTTGCAAAACCATGCCTTAGTCTCCAAAAAGATTTTTTTCATGCCAAAAGAAAACTACTTTAATAAAACCCGGCATTAGGTCTCCAAAATTGTTTTTTTTTTTTTTTTTTTTTTTTCAAAGAAAAGTAAATAAATCTCCAAAGACAAAGAAAAATAAGTCTCCTAACATATTTTTTCAAACCAAGAATAATATGCTTTTGCAGAACCACGCCTTGAGTCTCCACAAATGTTTTTTTTTTTCAGACAAAAAAATCAGTCTCCAAAAATGTTTTTTTTTCAAACAAAGAAAAATAATTCCCCAAAATAGCTTTTTGCAAACCAAAAATAAAAAAAAAATACTTTTACAAAACCACTTCCTAAGTCTCCAAAAAAAATTTTTTAGACAACTTTCAGTCCACACTTTGAGTCTCCAAATATGTTTTTCAGACAAAGAAAATAAGTCCCCCAAAATGTTTTTTTCAAAGCAAGAGAAAAATACTTTCACTTTATCACGACTTAAGTCTCCAAAAATGTTTTTTTCTGCCAAAAAAAAAACTTTTACAAAACCACGCCTTAAGTCTCCAAAAATCCACACCTTAGGTAATCACAAAAAAAGCATTGGAGGTTTAATTTTAACTCTGCGTCTTAGGTCTCCACAAAAACACTGAGAAATATTTTAGAATTCCACATCTTAAGTCTCCACAAAATTTTTCTTCAAAATTTCTCGACAAAAACTTTTATTTTACCTCTAAAATTATTAAAATTTAGATAAAAATTACTTAAAAACTACAGATTGCTTAAAAAATGTCCCGAAAATTTCTTAAAAAAACCACAATCACTAAATCTCAATTGTAGGCCTAAAATAACTTCCCTAAAAAATGATTTGATGTGAATTAAAAAGTCTTCAATTTTTTTTTAATTAATTCCTTAGATGTCCACAGAAACCTTACCTAAGTACTATACATAATTGACACATAAGGTCTCCAAAAGGTTCGCAATAACTTCTCTATATTTATTTCTGAAGAAATCTCCAAAGCCTCCTAAATATCCATATACTATAATTTGTAAAAAATCCAAAGTTTTTTTTTTTTTTTAATTCTTTTCTAAATTTCAATTTGAAGAAATTTACAAGGCCTCCGAAAATTCAATTTATAATTCTTTGAGGTCTCCGACGGTCTCCAAAATTGCTTTTAAAAATCTGCGCCTTAGATTTTTATAAAAAAAAGCATTAGAAATCCAAGCCATAGATGTCTCCAAAAATGTCCTCTAGAAACCGCACCATAGATGTGTCCACAATTTCCTTTAGAAATCCATTCCTTAGATGTCTATAAATTTTTCTTTAAAAATCCACGCCTCAGATGTCTAAAGCAAGTCTCCAAAGTTTTTTTTTAAAATCCACGCCTCAGATGTCTAAAAAAGTCTCCAAAATTTTCTTTAGAAGTTCACGCCTTAGATGTCTTTAAAATTTCCTTTAGAAATCCACGCCTTAGATGTCTTCAAAATTTCCGTTAAAAATCCACGCCTCAGATGTCTAAAAAAAGTATCCAACATATCCTTTAAAAATCCAACTCCAACAAAAACCCAAAAGGTCTCCAAAATTTCTTTTAGAAAATCATGATTCAGATACCTAGAAAAAAACCAGTGAAGATTCTGTTAGAAGTACTAGTCAAGGTCTCCAAAATTTATATTAGAAATCCACGCCTCAGATGTCTAGAAAAAATCCAGCGAAGATTCTGTTAGAAGTGCTAGTCAAGGTCTCCAAAATTTCCTTCAGAAATCCACGCCTCATATGTCCAGAAAAAATCAAGCTAAGATAATTTCAGAAGTGATAGCCAAGGTCTCCAAAATTTCGATTAAAAATCCACGCCTAAGATGTCTTGAAAAAAAAAATCCAGCGAAGATAATTTCTCCAAAATTTCGTTTAAAAATCCATGCCATGCCCAAAAAACAAAAAATTGTTCAAAAATTTCCTTTCAAATCCTTAGACGTCTCCAACAAAAACTAAAAAGATCTTCAAAATTCCATTTAGAAATCCAAGTCTTAGATGTCAAAATTGATTTTATAAATCCACGCCTGAGACGTCTTGAAAAAAAAAAAAAAAAAAAAAAAACAGAGAAGATACTTTTAGAAGTGATGGTCATGGCCTCAAAAAATATCCTTTAGAAGTCCCCAAAAGTTTTCTTAAAAATTCATTCTTTAGAACTGAAACTCAATTTCTCCAAAATTACCTTTAGAAATCCTTGTCTTATATGTCTGCAATAAAACCAAAAACTTTTTCAAAATTTCATTTTGAAATCCACGTCTTACATGTCTCCAAAAAAACCAAAAAGGTCTTTAAAATTCCTTTAAAAAAATCCACGCCTAGAGTCTCTCCAGAAAACTTCCCTTAATTTCCCTTGGAAATGCGTTTTAAGGTCTCCGAATTTACTTAAACAAAATTTACTCCTCGCCTTAGTTATCCACCACAAAAAGCTTCCCGGACTTGTTACTTGAAGTGATACATAAGGTCTCTAACATTTTGTAAAACTTAACGCCTTAAGATTCTACAAACGATTTCTCCCAATTTTCCTTTAAAATAATACAAAAAGTCTCCAAAAATATTTTTTAAAAATCCATACTTAAAATGTTTATAAAAAATTGGCTAAATTTGTCTTTAAATTGGGTATATCCCAATGTCTCTAAATCCTAACTTGCCCACAATAAAATTCCTCACAAACCCCGGTTGAAGAGATCCCTACG